TATTGACTATATAGCGGGTGTTTTTCCCACGGCACACCTTACACTATGTCACGGCACACTAGTGTGCCACGGCACAGTGGTTGAAAAACACTGAAATAGATAGATCCTGAGTCACTTACAGCTTTAAAGATCAGATGTTAAATTGTGTTTACTCAGCAGTTGGGCCTATTTGGCAACTGAAAGCCAGCCTTGTCAGGTGCTAGGAATGGGGAAAGCTGAGTTTCTCTAGCCCTACCATAGATAGTCGGAGAACAAAATGTATGTAGCCTAACAACCAAGCTCAGAGATCACCAAGGACTCCGCAGATAGAGCTATGTTGTAAGAAGTATATTTCCTTAATTTGATTAAATCTGGAGATGGGGTCTAATTTTAATTTTCTTTTATTCTTCTTAGATTTGCAGGAAAGACCTGCTTCTTCATATGCACAGGGAGCTAGACCAAAGGAAAACTCATTGAGTTCTTTAAGGCTGAACACATCCATGAACCGCCAGTTGCCTTCTGAACATGAATCTTCATTTCTCTCTAGAGAGCATAGCTGGAATTCAAGATCTAACTATGTCCCAAGAGAAGTAGAGACTTCTGAAAGGAATATACAGCCAGAGTTTACCCAAGATACCATGAGAAGTGGGACCAGAACCTCAAACCTTTCTGAAGGAGTTTTGCCAACCCAAAGGTCATTAAGTGAGCCTTCTGCTGATACTGAAGGAAGGCGTTCAACAAGGCAGTTACTATCTCGCTTGGCATCTAGTATGTCCTCCACCTTTTTCCCAAGAAGGTCTGGCCAAGACTCTTTGTCGTCTTCAAGATCATTAGGTTCTAGAGATATAAGTGCTCTAAGAGCTCAAGCTCCTGCCCAGGCAACTTCTTCTAACCCACTTATAACTTCTGAAGGTACAGAAGCTCAAACACCTGATCCTGGTCCTCAGGGATTTAGCTTCCTTAGAAGACGCTGGGGTTTGGCAGGTATTTCACCAAATCCAAGTGCTGAGACAGAACCTGGAAATTACAGACATAATTCTGAAAGTAGAAATGCAGGTTCCTGGCTGTCATCATCTTTGAGGAACAGATGTACACCTTTGTTTTCAAGAAGGAGAAGAGAAGGAAGAGATGAAACTGCAAGAACTTCTACCTCTGAAACATCTGCTAGGTCACTGCATCTTTTTAGGAGAAGAGAATCTGCTGGGGATGGACCTCTTGAGACACAAAGGGAGTCCCTCAGGCCGAGGCCATCGATACCTGCAGTACCCAGTGGTACTGTATCTGTTCCTTCAGGGTCAGAGTCAGTGCCTCCTAGAAGAAATTCAGGACTATCAGGAATGTTTCCCGGCTCTCTTTTTCGGTTTGCAATGCCGCCAACTTTGGAAAATAACTTGTCCGACAATGTTATGATAACTGTAGATATTATTCCATCGAATTGGAGTCAGTCTAATGAACAAGATAGTGACAAATCTAAAATATCTTCAAGAGATCCAGAAAAGCTTCAGAAAATTAAAGAGAGGTAAACAGCTATTTTTATCATTTGAATGATGTTTTAATTATAAATTTTGTTGGGCAAGTCCTATACTTATTGCAACAAATAATATCTTGGAAATGCTGATGTATCTGATTAATGTCATAATATGCAAACAATTTAATTCAACATCGTAAATTTTCTCATCTCTGTTCAGTCTTCTTTCAGAAGAAGAGGAAGAAGAGGAAGAAGACATATGTAGGATTTGTCAAATGTCCTCTACATCTGTCACTAATCTCTTAATCGAGCCATGTAAATGTGCTGGAAGTCTGCAGTATGTTCACCAGGAGTGTATGAAAAAATGGCTACAATCCAAGATTAACTCGGGTAAGAATTTTTAAGATCACAATTCAGGAAAAATAGACTAATTTGAAAGTTGATCACAAAAGGGGATTGTTAAAGTGTAGTTGGAAAATGAATGAAACTGGCTGGATGCATGTAAGCGTGAGGGTCCTTGGTGCTCTCTGAGCTTGGTTGTTTTCTTGCAGATGTTTCATTATCCAAACTAGGCAACATCATCAATGCATGCAACATCATTGTCTGAAAGAAAACAACCAAGCTGAGAAAGCACCAAAGACCCCTCATTTCAACCCTGAGCTACAAATATTTTCCTTTATTGGTACAAGTAAGAGTCCATATTAGGAATTGCATCATGGCAATAAGAACAGCAAAACAACATTATTTTTTTGCTCTTAACAAATCTCCAGATGATTGCTTGATAGGCCTATTTAAAGTGACCTGTTCCCTGCCAGGAAGGAACAACTTGCTGCCCCAGGTCTATTATGGGGAATACTGAAAGCATCTAGCACGGGGGTACCAACTCAAGGCCCGCAGAGTGCTTAAATCTGGCCCGTGGGGCCGGCCTGGAAATATCAAAGGACCGGCCCATGGTGTCTCTACCAGCCAAAACTGGGCCCGTTTTTGTTCTCCGCAGCCTCCTGCAGTGCTCTGCCAGCCAAAAATGGGCTGCGAGGGGCCCTGAGAAGCCCCCCCTCGCATCCTGTTTTGGCTGGCAAAGTACTGCAGGAGGCATCCATGCTGTCTCCCCCCTCTTCTCCCCCCCTCCCACCAGCCCTGGCTGTGATTATGACATCAAAGCACCACGGGGTTACCATTTGCAACCTTCTTTGCTGACTTCTGACAAGTGAAATGAATGGGAAATCCAGTAGGAAGTCAGAAATAGCAACCATGTTTCAACATGAGTTTTATTCAAGAATATTTCAAAATTCATTTAGAATTTTACTCATTAGAAGAAACACACACACACACATACTGAGATTATATGTGGTTTGAAAAACCTGTGAAATTCATATTTTAATGCAAATCTTTTTTTGAAAAATAATGTGGTATAGAAACAATAGAATGGACAGCTATAAAATGTTTAGCATTTTGATCTTAACTATCATAATAATAATATAGCCTTAATACATAATCTGTGAAAAGAATCAACAGGGACACTTGATTTTTAGATGATTGTCCTGATTTCTCTACTCTTACCTATTTCTCTTAGAATCACAGTTGTATATATAGTAGTGAATATAGTTTTCTGTTTAATGATGTACTTTTCTCAACATGATTGCTGACTGTTTCTGAATGTTTTCAATGCCAAGGCTAAATAAAATAAAAGGTATAACATCCCCCCCGCCAGGTTCTTCATTGGAAGATGTAACTACCTGTGAATTGTGTAAAGAGAAGCTTCAGCTCAATCTTGACAATTTTGATATCCATGAACTCCATAGAGCACATGCAAATGAACAAGTTAGTATATTTTGGCTAATTTGGTAAGTGTCAGTTTAGTGCTTGTGACTCAGGATAGGTTTTTTTTCCAACTGTGGAAGAAATAATCTGTTTATGACAGACAATTTATGTTGCTTGTATGTTGTACTCTTCAATTTTAGATGGCTAAAAATATAAACATGTAAAATACTTCAAGAAACTTCATATACATAAAACACCTCCCTTTTTACAACCGTGTAATCCCTTAATTCTGGGTAGAGTCGGGGCGAGTAGATGGAACTGAGCGCTTGATGGGCAGATGCCCTTCCTGATGCCACATGGAGTTCACAGCATATATTTTTTCTTTGCGCCCTAGAAGAGAAACAGCTTTAGCTATCTAGGATTGAATTCTCAACATTCTGAGTGGGAGGCGAGCATATTTATCACTAGGACATCATACTGCTGAAACACCATATACATAGCAGCATAAAAATATTTTTTAAAAACTCCATATACATATAAGCATAAAAATAAAAAAACAAGCAGCAACAAATACCAATACCATATACCAACAAACATACCTCCTGGTCAAAGGGCACTCCTAAGCAAAATAGAACAGAATTGATTCTGAAGTTCAAAGTTTTTCTGACACATAGGAGGGATGAGGCTGATAGAATTCCTATTGGGAGACAGTTTCAAAGAGTGGAAGCATCCATTGAAAATGCCTGTCTGCATCCTTTGCCCTTTTGGATAACAATTTCATAGGGACACCTTGTAAGAAGTATATCTATATGATCTGGTTGGAGTAGGCAAGTAAATATGGAAAAAAGTGATCCTTCAGATAATCAGGTCTAGAGCCATCTAGGACCTCAATTCAGCACTTTGCATTGCACCTGGATTGGGTTTGGTAATTAGCACAACTTCTAAAGTTGTATGGTCACATAAGAATATCAATATACAGGTGAAACTCGAAAAATTAGAATATCGTGCAAAAGTTCATTTATTTCAGTAATGCAATTTAAAAACTGATATATGAGATAAGACTCATTAC